GGGGATGGAACTGGGCCATTTCCACCGTCCCAAACTGGTGCAGCTTTGCGTGAAACAGACAGGTGCCTACCACGTTCTGGGTTACCATTACTAGGGCTGGGATAGGCGGTTTCATTCGGAGGTGTAGGGATAGCAGAGTTTGAATGAGTTGGCGAAGGTGGTGCTGATGAGCGAGCAGCGTAATTAGGGGGTTTTGGATACTCAAACGGCTGAACTGGAGGAGGACGAGGTGCGGCAAGATTTCCTGCCGAGCGTTGTTTCTTGAGCGATGAATTGGAGCGACCGAGACTGTTTGCCTGAACCATGGCAGCATTAGCACTAGTAGGAGGGCTGTCATTAGATTGGCGTCCACGTGAAAACATATTTCGCAATCGACCACCAGACTTGGCAGGCTTGTCATTCCCGTTTGCTTGCAGGGGCGGGAGTGGCGGTAGCTCAGGTGGGCCCTCAGAGAGGAAATCGATCAAATCTCGGGTGCTTGCCGAAGTGGCACTGGGAGCAGCTGCCTTGGGTGTCATCGGTGGAGGGCCAAACGCGATTTCGTCCTCAATGTCCATCACATCGTCAAGGTCGAGGGACTCTCGGTTACGAGCACGACCGTTTGGACGGTTGCGCTTGGGCATGCCATCTGACATGTCTGGTACGTCGAGATTTCGTCGAGCAGGGTAGGCGGTGGGAGGCATGTTTGCACCAACGGACGCTTTGCGAAGAAGACTAGAACTGGATTGAGGCGGGGTGTCACTTCCTGAGCCACGACGAGCAGGATTTATGCGAATGCCAGCCTCTCCGGGAGTAGCGATACTATGATTTCGAGTGCGTGAGAGCGCGGCGCTGTCCTTTTCGTCAATGAGATCAGCAGCACGCCCGATGGATTTCGTGCTCGCAACTGGTCGGATAGACTTGAACGGGGGTGCAGGGGTAGCGTTGGGAGAGAGTGGAGAGGTGGCTTTGGCTGCGGCTTTGGCGATCTTTTGCTTGTTATAAACCTGTCGAACCGAGCACAAAGTATCTTAGCATCAAACGCGGCAAACCGCTTAAAAACTAGGCGAAAAGTGAGCTTACCTCGAAAGTCTTGAGGCGGTCGGGAGTAAGAGAGACCTTCATTGTTGTGCCGGACTTCATTAAATCGTCAAAGTTTTGCATCCCAGACTCATCCTAACAAAGCAAGCTTAGCACATATCGAGGCGGGAAGGGTGGACTGAATGGCGTCGGCCGCCGGCAGGAGAACGGATGCCCAAAAACTCACCTCCGCTTCTCTTTCTTGGAAGGCAAGGATTGTTCGTTTTGTTGTGTCGCTCATAACGGAAAGATTACGCTGATGGTCCTTTCCAGATTGGGAGTCGATGCTTGTCTTTGATTTAAGCCCAAGGTTCTTGTCGTAGGCCGAGGGGGGCGCGTGCGCGGTTGCCTGTGTTGTCGGGGACCGCGTTCTATCAGTTGATTGACCCTGAGGTTGTGGAGACGTGGTACGCGACATATCAGCCTCGCCCCGGGAAGCTGATTTGCTTCGTCGACGTCGAGGAGATTTTGTCTGTGATTCAATTTGCTCTTGAACTAATGATGCGGAGAAATGTCTTAGCACATCGGGTGCAGTTGCGCCTTGGCGATGAGATGAACAGACATACCTCTCATGGTTCTAAACAGGCCGTAGATGGTATCGTCCTCGCAGAGTGCTACATACAAGTCTCCAACTTGCGCTGTTGCGCGGCTGGCATCGCGACCAACTACACGAGCGACGTTTCCCAATAGATGCCTGGGTAAGAAAATATTGAGGAACAGCGACCGAACTTGTTACGTGAGAAACTTACAGGCAGACGTGTCTGGTGAATAGAACAGGAAAAAAATCAAAGAAGGACGGCGCAAGTTCAGTTGACTTCTCACGAGAAGACTGGAAAAAACAGTGCTCACTCCAACACAGCTGTCAGGTAAAGAGCTGCTGGTGCAACCGCATTTGGATTGGGGGGATTGGGAGTGGCTTGGACCATCCGGGCTTGCATACGAGTCTCAATGTCGGCATCCTCGTCCATATCTCCAAGTGTAGAGTAGGCCTCGCACTTGTGCCTTAAAAGCTTCAGGCCACCACAATGTCAGCGACACTGTATTCTAACAATAGACGCGGTATAACGCGTCTAATTGCACTGACCTCAAACGCTGCCTGCAGCGGGAATTCCGCAGGGCTCGCAGAGGGCGAGCTCTCGAGGGCTTTCTGAACATTGAGCCCAGTCTTTTCCCAATATGCTTTGAGTTCTACTTCCGCTTCCAGGAGTGCGTCCTTGCCTAGGGTGGTCGGGAGTATCTTGAGGAGGCCAATCTTTAGACGATCCGTTGAGAACGACCGAGCGGTACTGAGGACGAGCCACAACAACTCGTCAAGGAATACATTAATGCAAATGAGAGCTTCAGTTCGGACTTTTGTGGGCCGCACTTCAGACAGGACGGTTTCTGCCTTTGATTGAGACAAATAGCTGGGAGCTATTGACACAGGGGGAGCGAGCATTAGCCGTCACGAACGTCGTGAAAAGGAGTAGAAGGAATAATCGTTTATATTCGTACCTCGTTCCATAACTCTTAAACCAGCAAGTGGCCAGAAAGCAGGCGGGATAAGGGACGGGGTCAAAGAAGAGGATAGATTACGATGCAACCCGTCTCCCTCTAAAAAGGCTAATAGGCTTCCGATCACAATGACGCCGTGGAAAATGTAAAAATCATTTATTCCCAAACTCGTATCATTTCGACATTTATGCCAATGTCATTGGGGACTTGTCCACCACTTAGAGGACACTATCAGTATCCAGCATAGAGTCCCAGTTTACCCCCTCGCCGGCCTTTCCGTAACCACAGGGAAGCAGATTTCTCAACGCCGGTCCTCGTATGTCACGAGATCAATTCACTTCGGTTTTGGATAAATACCGGACCATCTTTTGGTGAGGTGCTCCCTGTATCAGAAATGTGTGAATATTCCCATTCCGGCCATTGGGGGATGCACAAGGCTCACATCTTCGTCAAACTCTGGGCCCTTGGGTTGCGTGGTTTGAGAAGCTGAGAAGGGCCGGAATAGAGTGTACTCACCACTTCTTCATAACCGCATCTGTAGAGAGAACGACACGTCAAATAAGGACAAGGGCGAGGGACAAGGAATAGATTCTCACTTCGCGTAGAATCCCTTGACGTAGATTTGTGAATGCAACGAGATTGATACTGGGCCTTCTGCATCTGGTGAGCTTCCTTGCTTCAGTAAATAGTCATGCACCGCCAATACGAGGTCCTTTCCGAACTTGAAGTTGCGATATTCTTTGAGTACACAAAGTCGTCCGAGCTTCTTCTCGGTGGAAGAAAGATGCACCAGACGGATGGTACCGATCGGTTCGAGAGAAGGCACCAGTCTTAGCAGTAGATGGGTAGATTTGCCAGGGCCATCATCTACAGAAATCCATGGCATATTAGGATCTCATAGAATAGTTTGACTGACCGAGAGCTCACATTTGTCGATTTCTGTATCAAGTGGAAACTTTTGTTCGTCGACAAACACTGAGATTGGCGTGAGCGTGAGCACGAGCACGAGATGGGAAATGCGAACCGGCGATTCTCAAGTCTATGCAGTGCTTTACGAGATCAGGAGTATCGTCATTGACGGGTATAATCTCGTGTGGAGGAGCGGTTGGGGCTGGCATCTTCTTCGCTTGAAGAGTTATGGAGCTGAGAGCAACTAGTGAAACGAAGCGAGCCAGACAACCGAAAGCCTTGTCGTTCTTATAGCCGTTCAGCATGGAATCACCGCGCGTGCATATACTGCACTGTTGTCTTCTAGCCTGTTCCATAATCTTCCGGGATCGATGTTGACGCGCAATTTGGACGCTCTTCAATACTCGCTCATTCTTCCAAAACTATGCTAAACAGTAATGTTGTGACCCTCTGTGAATCCCGTCAATGTTAGTAACACAAGATGAAGGTGACCGCGAGTGCCCGGACCTGTGGGCGCATCTGTAATGACCTACCTGGGAGAATAAATCAACCACTGGCTACGTCAGCTAGACTATTGGTGAGACCAGAATGTACCTAGGCTTTAAGTTAGGCTTCAGCATATCCAAAGGTCAAGATGGCACTGACCTTTTGGACCGAACTTCACCTTCAGTTCTGATTGCGGACAAGATCGAAGTTAAATTTTTGTGGTAGTGGGCGTCTCATTCGGTATCATTCAACGGATCCTCCAGTCCTGTACTGATGGGTACCTCAAAAGGCATGGCTGACAATGCCGATGATTGCTCTTATGGCTAGTTGCTTTGTTCACTACTTGGCCTCTAGACCGATATGAACGAACCACCAAAACTCCACAACTAGACAGGAAGAAACATTCTTTGAACCAGACCAAAGTGAATTCGACACCTCACCACCATGGAACCCCCGATGGATCCCAAGTGCCCCACGGATAGTCGAGGTAGGTGTGCCGTCGAACGGTTGGTGTCCAACCAGGTCGGGTGTGGGACCATACGAAATCTTTTTGGAGCCGAGTATTGGAAAGTTTATTGGGAAACCTTTCTCTGTGAGTTCGCTTTCTCTCATTATCTCTCCACTCGTTACTCATATTTCCTCGCATTAGGTCATTACGGCCTCTGGACACGGGGAGTCTGCCACCGCGATATCAGTGATGGGAATTTGATGTACAAGAAGGGCGAAGACGGGCAGGTTATCGGAGTTCTTGCAGATTTTGATCTCTCATCCCTCGAGGGCAAGGCAAGCTCAAACACCAAACGAACCGGCTCGCTACCGTTCATGGCCCTCGACTTGTTATCAAAGAATGCAGTATCCGGAAAGGTGGCACATGACTATTGTCACGATGCTGAGGCGTTTTTCTGGGTTGGAGTCTACGACACGGCTTGTTACGACAATGGCCATACGGTTGATAACGCGGTTCCGGCCCAATGGAATCTCCCTGGAGCCAACACTATGCGAGAAGAAAGAGGCTACTATCTCTGGAACCTAAACAAACATGATGCTACTTCATCTCAGGAGAATGTCTGGAATGGACTCTCTCTGCTTAGGATTCCTCTGACAGAACGGAAGATTTTCGACCGTCCAGAGGAACTGCCATCCTGGGAATTGGCTATGCGGCGGAGTCTGGGAGATCCTGTGCCTGAACCCTTCGACGCTTCGCTCCATGAGCCAAGCGCAGTGAAAGCTCACTTCTTGAAACTGAAGGATGGTGCAGAACAGTATTTCCCTTCACTTCTCGAGACAACATTCGCATCTTCTTCATAAACCTTTCCCCACTAGCATGTACGTACATCTTCACAGCGTCAGTCATGTTCCTGGCCGACTAGGTCAGGTCTTGTCTTCCAAATTTGCGATTTGGCGCGTTTTTT